GCTGTGTGTCATTCTTGCAGAGTAGTTGTATATACAGGATTATCTATGAACACTTCATCTATGGGAACTTAATTTAGCAGTATTAATCTGTTAGACTATAAGTAGTTCTTTGCACAGTGTGAGGTTCCTTATCGTACCTGAGGGTTACTCCGGTTAACAGTACAAAAGAGTAAGCTGCCTGCTGTTTTTATTCAGAGACTCGCCAAAATAAAATGGTATCTAAATGCATAGATAGAATGACAGTGATATATCAAAATGAGTTTCTCAGCTCAGTTTGCTTTTTAGTACAGTCCTGAATCATCATCTTTCCTGGTTTTCCTGTTGGAAGCAATCTAAAATAAAAACGGTGGGGACAGAGGTAGGTTTGTGTCTAACTACTATAATTTTTTGGCTTTCTCTTTTCCTGGACTCTTAAACATATGGAGGTCTTGCTCTTGCCATATTTGGGAGCTCTGGTGCTGAACTTCAGGAGAGTATTTCGTTCCTTGTTCCTGTATAACGGAAGAATCCATGCAGTATGTCAAATTAATTAAAAAAAGATCACCACTTTGCTGATCTAAAGCATATGTATTGTAACAGCAGGCAGGTAAAGTCGTGAAGTGGATCTTAATGCTGAATCTCTGATTGTTTCAAACTGCTCTTGGGACTTGTGGGAAATAGGAAATCTAGGTACAGGCACTGGGAAACTCGGTTGTTTGGATGAGCGAGAGATACAGATTAATTTCTTTTACCAGGCTCCTAACAGGTGTGAGTAAGTGTGTTTGACCAAAACCGGAAGGTCTAAAGTTAGACTAACTACAGATCTAGGAGCCTTACTAAATGAAGAAATCCTACAGTACTGACTATCTTCAGTTTAACCACTTTAACTTAGTGGGAATTGCGTTTAATCAACAGCCTAAAAGGTCGGACGTCTTTTAAATGGAAACACAGTCTTAACTTCAAAGACTAGGAAAGTTTGGTTTCGGTTTTTTAAGAGCATTGCAGTGTATAGATATTATCTAAAAATTGATTGAGGAAAGGGAAAGGGGAGATGCTGGCAAAACTATGTGGTCTGCTTGAGTTTAGGCTTCTTACCAGAGGTTATGGAGGCAGAGGAAGAGGTCGGGAGAGATGGTTCTTTGATACTTGACTTTGTTTCAAATTATTTTTTTTAAAGTTGCTTCACTTCTAGTTTTCTTAAATGTTATTAATAGAATGTATAGCCTGGTTATGGCACGAGAAAGCAAACTTCAGTAAACTTTTTGAGGTAATGTTATTAAAGGCAGTTTATTTTTAGTAATTAATAAACAAGCTGGAGGAATGGACCAACGGAAAACTTGTGAAGTTTGGCAAACGCAAACATAGAGTCTGCCTCCGGGACAGGATGACCCTGCCTGTAGGTACAGGTAGGGGATGCCTGGCTTTGGGGCAGCTCTGCAGAGAAATATCTGGGAGTGCTGGTGAGCAACAAGCTGAACACGAGTCGGGAACGCAGCGACGGAAGCGAACTACTTACTGGGCTGAATTAGCAAGTGTGTAGCCAGCGTGAAGAGGGAGGTGATTATTCCCAACTACTCGCTGCTCGTGAGATAGCATCTTGGGGGACTGGTTAGCCTGGAGAAGAGAAAGCTAAGAAGGAATCTAACTGCTGTCTTTCACAACCTAAAGGGAGGGCCAGGCTTTTTTCAGACTTGCACGGCAAGAGACAGTGGCTGCAGGTTGCATCAAGTGAAATTCGTAAGGAGAAAATTTTTCGTTGCGAGAGCGGTTAAGCCCTGGAACTGCTTGCCCAGAGGTTGGGGAATCGCTGTCCTTTCAGATTTTCAAAACTTGCTTGGACAAGGCCCTGACTAGCCTAATCGAACTTAGAAGTTAGCCCTCTTAAGTAGGAGATTGGCCTAGATGACTACCAGAGGTACCGTTAAACTAATCTTTTTCTGTGATACTACATCAAGCTGAAAGCAGAATTTATATTGTATTATAGTAGAACAGTGCTTACTTTTGCTGGGAACATGTAAACCTAACAGGTTTCAGCCTAGATTTCATCAACATTTACTTTTGAAATGCCATTACAATCTTTAATTTAATGCACTGCATTGGGAGACTATTAAGTTTAATCTTTATCATGGTGTAGGTGGAAAATTATTTTATATTATTTTATTTTGAAAAACTAATAAAAGAATATGAGAAATCAATTTTGACCCACAGGACTTTGTCTGACTTGAAGATTTTTGAAGCCATTGATACCCAACTGCTAATACAGCCATGCTGCTGCAGGTCTCCCTTGCAGACAGGCAGTCTGTGGCATCATCTTTCCTTTAGCTAAAAATACTTTCCTATAGATCAGTTTGCTGTTGTAATAGTCTTAACATTTAACTCTATGGGAATTATTTCTGTGTTTTGGCAGGTACTGTTGTATGTGTAAAGGACTATGGATGCTAGCTGACAACTGAAATGGATGTCTTACTAAAGTACTTAATCTTTGTGAAAATAAGACTTTATCACAGCTGTTCCGCTTCTGCTGTGTAAACTATTGTTCCTTCTGTACAAAAAGATTTTTTTTTTTTAAGAGAAAAACATATTTAAAGTCTAATCGTAGCTTTCTGGTTTCATAATGTTTTGTTACTGCACCTTCTGTCATCACTTTGAGTAACAGTGTAACGTTTAAGAGCTCCTATCTCCACTAAAAATGGAGAGCTTTTTATGCTGAATTTAGTGGTATAATATCCACAGCTAGCAAGAGCTCCCAAGCTTTCCATGCTTGTTGTTTATGCTCTTAAGATAAGTCATTTGGCATTGAGCTTGTGTTAGTGACAGGTTAAGCTGCCAGTGTAAACAGTGTAAGACTGAGTATTTTGAAAGATGCGTGTAATTTTGTGAAGGAACTAAGCCCACAAGTATCCTGAAGCAATGTAATGTTGCTTGTGCTCAAATAATATTTTGCAATGCTCATGAGAAAAGGAAGTAAGTATTTAGAAAAGTATTGGTGAAATGGTAACAGCTTATGATTCTTAACATTTGTTTACTGAAAATAATTCTTGACACAGGGAGCTTTTACTGGAATTTACATGAACAAACAGCATGGAAGTTGTTCCTGGAAGTAGAAGGCGCTCATATTACTGTGCAGCCAAATTTTGCCATTATTTATAACTGTTATATAATTAATTTACTTTTGCTAGTGGAATTATGCTATGGTGAAAATGTTTTGTTTTTAGGATACCAAGTTTGGGGGGTCAATTCATGAAACATAGGCTTTTTCAGTTTTTAAAAGAAATACTAACAAGTTCTCAGTTTTCTGCAAGTTACCTAATTATTTTATTAAAAAAGGACCACAAAGTTTAGAATTTGAAATTGAGTGATGTTCACCACCGCCACCCACCCTCTACGATGCTATTTCTTCCTTATTCCCTACTGTGAGGACATCATTGTTCAAATTATCATTCTTAACGCAAATTTAGAGCGGGCGTCCTTTCCAGGACAGTTGCTAAACCTTCATAAAAAGGAAGGGGACAATCACTGTTTACTCTGCAAAGACATCATGGGTTAGCAGAACCTGCTCATACAACCCTGGAGAAATAAATCCATGGTAAAATATAGTGTTTGACAGCATCCCTGGGTTAGAAACATGAATGTTTGTCTTAACTTTAATACTTCTACCACATGTGGACCCTACAGACTTTTTTGTCAGGTCAGTTCTCCTGCAAGTTGAGCTAGTGTTATGCACAGAACTTGAGGAAAGCAAATAAACAAAATATCCCTTTCCCTAATGTAAATATCTCTTTTGACATTCAAAATGCATATGCAGTTTGTCATAGGTCTCAAAATCTTGTTGGAGAGCTAAGTCAAAAAATTCTACCTGTTACTGTTGAGATGGTTAAGTTCATGCAATCTTTGTTTCTTACTGTCTATAAAGGTTTAGCACATGATTGGTTAACACTGAGATGCTTATGTAGCACAAAACACAGGCTCCTTAACTAATTCAGACTTTGAAGATGCTTTCTACTAGTATGTTTCCTGAAGAAGTAATTCTGTTACTTGGATGCGGATTGAAGTGTTCTTGATGCAAATAGACAAGTATTGATGGAAAGAAACTTTAAACCAGAATGTATACTGATTACATGTTTGAGATTGAAGTGTTCTTGATGCAAATAAAGACAAGTATTGATGGAAAGAAACTTACCAGAATGTATACTGATTACATGTTTGTATTCTAGACCTTGGCACTAATAAACTTTTTCTTGTCTATGTGTATTAAAAACTTCATAGCCAAACTTAATGTTACTGAAGCTTATTTGTTTAAGGAACTCTGACAGAGCATGCATTCGGGATGTGTATAACCTTTCGTTGGTGGGAAATCAAATTAACACACAGGATTTTATTTCAGTTAGAACATAGCTAAGTTTGTTCTGTTACAAAGTCATCCAAAAATGCATTAAAAAAAATCCGTTGAAGGAGGTTATTTGGAATGCTGGGATAGTGCCAGGGGTGAGGGATGATGAACAATGAGTAAAGTTGTCCGATATAGGTGGTGAAAAGCGAATTTCTGCTTTCTCATTAATTATTGCATATATTATTTAGTTGTGGTTCCAAGGGAATGATAAATTTAGCTGTAAGACGGTAATTCAGCAAAGTAGCTGAAAACATCTGTTAAAGATTGCTATTGTCTTTAAAATAGTTTTGAACTGGACTTTAGTGCAGGTGCTTTCAAACTGCGATTTATAGTTTTTCTTTTATCCATTTTTTTTGTCTGTTATCAACTGAAAAATTAGTTGTCAGTTCAGAAGGTTTAACATAGTGAGTTGAAAGTCGCTACTTCCTTGTTTCTCTCCTATTGAAAATGTTGACCAGACCCAGTTTTGTTTATATTCATGGAAAACTTGAATTAGCCTAGATTTCTTTTTCTTTCATGTTCATTCTGAATTTAGGGTGGGATTTTGTGTGTGTGGTTTTTTGATTTTTTTTTGTTTTGTTTGGTTGGTTTTTTTTACTACATCATTAAAATAGCTTTTTTTCCTTCACAGGCCTATGAAGAGTATACCAACAAACTAGATGCTTTACAACAGAGAGAACAGCAGTTATTGGAGTCTATGGGGAACGGAACTGATTTCTCTGTCTCCAGTTCAGCTTCAACAGACACGGTTGCATCATCTTCCTCCTCTAGCCTCTCTGTAGCACCTTCATCCCTTTCAGTTTATCAAAACCCTACTGATATGTCACGGAATAACCCTAAGTCTCCGCAGAAGCCTATTGTTAGAGTCTTCCTACCCAACAAGCAAAGGACTGTGGTGAGTTAACTTCTTTTCACAAGCTTATAACCTCAGTTTTCCTCTATCTCTAGCTGTCTTTATGCAAAAGTTAATTTAGGAGCTGAAAAAAAAAAAAAACCTGTCTGCACGTGTGTGGAAGTCAAATCACTATTTCGGCTCTACCAAACTCAGGTATTTTGAGTTGCTGGATGTTTTCTACAGCATTAATGCAGCGATGTTGTTCATATTATTGGTATAACAGGGAAATCTTTAAACGATTTTCCAAGAGTTTTATAGAAATTGAAATACCTGGATAAGTAGTTTTCTAAAATCATCTGTTAGATAAATAGTAATCTACCATTTTACAATGGGTAGGAGGGTATAGGAGAGACAAAGGGTTTTTTTTTAATTATGTAAGATTATTCTCTAGTTTAGCAGGGCAAAATTGGGGAAAAATAAGTGTTTTCCTTATTGTCAAAGTTAGTAGCAGCAGTGGATGCTGTACAGCAAGTACAAACTTCCAGCAGCTAAAGAGAGGAGCTGTGCAGAATCACTTGGGGTTTTTTCACCCCATTCCCTGGGGTGAGTGCTTCTTGTCGGGTCCCTGATGGTGTCAGGCCCTGTATAAAGGAAACTGGTCACAGGAGGGATGTAGTTGCTGTTAGTAGGAGCAAGGAACACTGTCTGCAAACTGCTTAAAAAAACTGATGTTAATCAGTTTTGACAGTGTTGTGATGCCTGGGGTCATGGAAGAGGGGTTATTTTTTTGCAGGCTACTTAGTTGTCCTTTTTCGGTAGGATGTTTTTATTTGTTATGGGCTGCCAGCTGAAGAGCCTTGGTATGTGCTTTAGAATAATACACTGAATTGCAAACTGACACTGGAAGTTACTGACAGCCCATAGCATAAGCTCTTTTTTGCAATGCACTCCATAGTGCTAGTTTGCAAGAGGAGCCTTGGTTCCAGTGAAAGTGGGAGATGGATAAATAGCATAGCCGGTGTCTATGAGAAACCAGTGCTTTTCATAGTAGTAGGCCAGGTATTGGCTGTCACTGGACTGTGGCTGGCTGTGGAAATTGAGTTGCTGGCAAAGAGGAGAAAGCAAACTTCTTTCCTTCCATCTGGAAACCTTCATCTGTAAAACTTAGGTGTCAAAAGCTGCCTGTTACCTCTGTTACTACATACTTTGTCTCCGTCCACTGCAGTGAAACAAATGAATTGGGCAGTGCCTCTGGTGATATTCAGTTAATGCCAGTGGCACCTGTCAAGTATACTGTGGTTTGCCTTAAGCTAGACTGTTGTACCGTTATTGTACTATTGTAGACAATGTTGTACCATTGGTTTCTTCCTGACTTTGCTTAATCTGTTGTTTCTTTCCTACACTAGGTCATGGTATATTGTTTCCTGCATTGTTTTGTCCGTTTCCTTTTCAGCTTCTCCTATGTGTTATCACTTCCTCTTCTCTTAAGCCATATAGTATGTTTCTACTCATATTCTTTTCTCCTCATATGTAATATTCCTCCTCTTCCTCCTCTGCTCCTCTTCTTCCCCTTCTTTTTACTACTTCCTCAATCTTTTTTCAGAGTTGTAGTAAGGCTTTTTATCAAGTCTGAGCTGTTCTGCTTTTAAAGGAATCACTTGGTATGAAGAATAGTTTATAATCATGAAATACATTACATGAAGCTTGTAGGCAAGTTTGGGTTTTTTGAATATTTAGATATGTATATTTCACCAAGTTTTAAATTAGTTGTAAGTAGGATTGCCAAAAAAAAATTTCCGTTTTACTTTTCTTTTAGGTGTCCTGCTTGCAAAAGCAAGTTTATTCACTTTCTGAATATGTAAATCTGATTGCAAGTTAGGAATAAGAGGCAACTGAATTTGTGTGATCCAGGTGATGCAAGAGGCAATTTTGGACCAGTGCAAAATTATCTTGCCTCATCTGAGATGTACTATCGACACACAAAAAAAAAAAACATTTTAGTCAAAGTAAAATGGGTTCTTTTAAACCAATGTATCTTTAAGATCTCTAGGGACTGTAACAGATTAGCTTGGTATGCTCTGAAACACACCTGAGACTTGTTCTCCCTGACTAGTATTTTTCCTTGCTTTTATCCCTAAGCTCTGTTCTTTGGGTGAAGGTTGGGATTCTGTGGTCGTGCTCATTAGGAGCCTGCAGAGTTAATCAGAGTGGCTAAATGATTAACTTCAAGAGTACCGTCTTCTCTGTTGCCATGACTTGGCTAAGCAGTAACTTTCAAGTTTGATGACATTCTGTCGTTTGTTCAGGGAACTGTAACCAGAATTTAGCTGTAGTACTCAGTGACTGATGGCAGAGCAATAGGAGTTTTCCAGCTCCAAATCCAGATGCTCTTACTGGCTATGGGATGCGAGTGTGGTTTAAGTTAGGCCTACAGTTGGGGAGGGGCCCTGGCTCCAATCTCTTGCTCTCTACTGGAGTCTAAATGTGATTCGCCTTATCAGCGTAGCACTGCAGCTTGTTTCCAGCTTGCTAAATGTAGGACACAAATTGTAGAGCTTCAGAAAATCTGTGGTCTTATGCTGTGGTGGAATACAAAAAGTCAGTTACTGAGTAGGAGACGGGTTGGTGGCAGATGGAAGGTGTAAGTTCCTTTAGTCTCAAGTTTGGTGAAATTGTGTCTGTAGGCACCCATACATAAAGGAACAGAAGATGCATGCAGATGCATACAGACGTGAAATACACATATGGGATTGCTGACTGGAAGCTCAGGTGACAGGATTCAGCAGATACTTAAAGGGTAATGCCAACCGAAGGAGGCCAGACCTGAGAGAGATCACCAGGCCTCCTCTGTTGGGAACAGTCTGGATAAGTCCCTGAGATGGTGGAATAGACTAGAGGCCAAACTGGTCCTACTGGATGTTTGCGGTGTAGAAGACTGTTCCTGCTTCACACGCTGCAGAGAAAGGCAGAGGTCAGCTCCAGTTCTCTTAGAAGAGACCCATTTTTGGTTGAAATCATTATTCTAAATAGGCAGTTTGAAATATACGCTTAGGTTTTTGTTGAGCAGATACTACGAATTGGTGATTCAGCTTTGGGTCGGGAAAGAGCTGTCTTCCTTTTTTTAATACAGTTTTACCCACTGCTTAATCTAGTTACATCCTTAAGGTGAACACCACCTGCCCCACCCCACCCCACACGCATGCCCCTGCCTCTAGCCCTAGAAAATGATCTCTGTTTTAGAGCTGCGAATTGATGCTTATAGGAACTTTGAGTGACTAGGGTTATTGGCCTGGGAGCTGAGGTTCACTACTTTGACGCTTGAAACAGCACTCATGCTGCTGAGGAATTGAGTTGCAGTACAAGAAATTCCTAAATGTGGTTTACTCCTTTTCTAATGTTTATTGCTTCTATATTTATTTTGTTGAAAACTCAAATTCCATAAGGAAAAGCAATTGAGACAGAATTATGGTTTACAGTGCAGTTTTAACTGCAAATAGTCGCATGACAAACTGCAGCCATATAGAGATTACTTGCTGTATTACACTTTCTTCATTCTCTGAATGGTAAAGACTTGTGCACATCTTAATCCTCCTTTATAACACAAAACCTTAATTAGGACCTCAGGCTTCAGAAACAGAGCTGTTATGTTTCCCTTGTGCCCATCAGCTAAGCCATTTGCTTTTGTAGCCAAGATGGTAGTTTATAGGTTTTCAGGACACAGTATAGTTTAAGATGCAGTGGATTGAAGTAGGAGGAGATTCCTTATGAAAACATGCAGTACCTGCTATTACCCCCGCCCCAAAAAAACACCATGCTATATGGCTGTTAAAATGAGGATAAAATGTGTCCTGCAACAAAGTGAGTTGTAATACGCTTTGATTTTCCTCACCTTCATTATTTTCAATTATTTTCAAATATTTCAATAATATTTGCCTAGGAAAGAAATCTTTCCTAGTATCACAATAACATTTTCAGTCCCTGCCTCCAACCACATAACTGTAGAACTGGGGACCCACTTCTGGAGTTTGGAAACCCCGTTGGGTGCTAGGGGATCTTTGTTTATTATCCGGGAATGTAGTGGCAGTTGTTAAACTGTCTTCCTTTAAACTGACTTGGATTAGGTTGGTAATGGAGAACCAACCACCTTATCAATCTTTGATCGTATTCTGAAGCAGTTCCACTTAATTAAACAGCCTTCTCCTAGTCATTTACGGTTGCTAGAAAGGCAAGAAATATTGGGGGAGGACACACATTTTTGTCTAGCAGCTCCCTTGGTACGTAGACTCATCTATGTTTGTTTTTTATTGGTAGTACTGTTGGTATATAGGATCAGGCAGATGCATCTCTGTTAGAGCTGGCTCAAAGTATAAGTGTAATGAGAGGAACTGAAGGAGTACAAAGAAGTAAGACCATGATGATCAGAATAAGTAATTTCAGTGCACATGCAGTGTAGCTGATGTCAAGTTTCTTCATGGGTATCATGATAAAGAAAAGTCGGCCTTTGACAGAAAGGCCTTCCTAATGTAGGAAAAGGCGTGAAGGTGCATCACTGAAAGCCTAACCAGTAAATGGTGGAGCCTACTGCTGCTCATTGATTAGCAGTTGAAGTCAGCACCTTGATACCGCCTGCAATAAGCAGGGTTAAAACATAACTAAGTAGCTTAAGTTAGAGGAGAGGAATCAATGAATGTAAAAGCATCAGAAGGTTAACTTTTCTTGTGTAGTTGGCCTGGTAGGGGGTGAGAAGTTTCCTGCTCTGAACAACCTCCTGGAAGAGCCACCAGATTTCATTTGCTGTTCTCTGGGAAGAATTATTTCTCCTCAACAGTGCAGTGAGAATGTAAGTCCTTGAAAGAAATGTATATTTCTTCTCCCCTCAGTGGCATGGTTCAACTAGTAAGTTAGATGTCCTTCAGACTAGCATTCTGCATAGATATGACCTGATAAGACCAGATGTTTTTGTTTGGTTTGGTTTTTGTTTGTTTTTGTTTTCTAGTCCAGGTGGAAGAATGTTTAAATAATAGAGGTGCAAGATAGTAAGAGTCTGGTCAGAGTCTAGC